TGTAACATGCTAAATCAAAACAATAAACAAAAATCCCATTTAGGCAATATATAGCAAATATGGTATAAAAATTACATAGGTAGTTACATATTAACAATTTATTAAATCTGTTAAATTTCGACTGTGCAATATTTTTGGTACCCCCGGTATGTCAGCTAAAATCTAATCAAAAGATATCCAATTTACCTAATGATGTAGTGAATTTTCAAAGTCAGAATGTCAGTACATGAATGCCAACTGTTGCTAAATACCAGCAAATGGATAAACTAAGATCAGTTGAATTGAAATCTGTCTGTTTAATAATATTGTTGATTGAGATAAAAGCTTCTGACATAATCGTATTCTATGAATTTTCAAATTCAGATATTTGACATGATGACACTTTCTAATGATTGAGTCTCTCACTTCTTGCTTTTTGTATAATTTATGACATTTCAGACATGCCGTAAAGTTATAAAATCAGTTCTTAAGATCAAGAATCTTACCAATACCAATTTCATGAATTTTAGTAATGATTGTGTAGCTGTTTCTGGTAGGTTAAACCTTGCTCAAAAGCTCATAATCCAAATTAAAATCCATAAAAATTTGTTATCATTCATCATTTCTGTGGCAATTGAATCCTGAAAGAATTCAAACTAAGAATATGAGTAGTCTTCGAATATTTTGGAAGACTCTTTCTCTTTACTAGTTGATCTGATATCATCTGAAGAAAATTTGGTATTTCAATTATTTTTAGTGGTGAATTCTACTCCTTCATGATCTGAAAGTTAAAGTTGCGAGTAAAAATCTAATGATTTTGTGCATGTCTTTTAGATCTTCTAGACCTTCTAGGTAAAAAAACAAATTCAGCTTTATCTGCTGTTTCGTCGTCTTATGCATTTTGCTGAATTTGATCAAATTGATATAAAGAAGCTGATGTAGATGATCCACTGCCAATAACCGATTCAAGTTCAAATTCGTTTTCTTGAATTGTATTTATATTACAATTTGTGACTGATTCACTAGAAGAATTTTGATCTTCCATATCATGTAGTTCCTTTGTATGTGGATTCACAAACTTACTATTACATACATTACAATAATAATGTAATTTTAATCTTTTTTTACAGGTAGTTCTACTGAAGGAAGGATTTTCTTGTGGTTTATCATTAATTACACTGTCAATTGCTCTTTTTCTAGTCATTACGTTATTAATAAATTTTGATTGTAAATATTTAAACGAATGAAAGTGAAACAAATTATCATAGTCTTTATGAAAGTTTATTTTATAATCACATTTAATCATTGACGAAAGTTTCATTTTAATACCAATGTTAATTCATATATTAACTTAAACTTTTGCTAAGTTTACAAGGTTATAATTATTGATTTTTTTTTATTTCATGTCTTTTTACCACAAAACAACATAAAGATAATTTTTATATATTAAAATTATGTTTCATAAAAATAAAGATAAAAGGGTCTCTGACAAGCATTTGACCTATGATCTGAATTTAGAAAGAGCAAATTTTAGTGAATGTTTAACACATAATATGAATTTAGAAGGAATAAAAGAAGTCAAACAAAATTCTGTTACTTCAAAGAATCAAAATAAAGGTATTCATCAAACTGTTATTAAGCGATATTATCTTCCGCACCAAACTTTTTTTATTCAAGAAGAAAACAATCAGCATACTTGTTCAGATAATCTAAAAGAGGATATTGGAAGTAATCAACCAAATACTAGATCAAATACTTCAGGAGTTCAAGAATGTTTTGGCTAAAACACTTTCTCTTTACCCTTAAGAGGACGAGATACAGAAAGTTTTCCTATGACAAATCAATCAAGAACTGATAATGTTATAGAATTGAAAGTAAAAAAACCTAATATTCACTTGCTGAATAATCTATTTTCCTTTAATGATAGGAAGAAAACTGTCATGAGTACTTCTGTAGTGACAATATCAGCAGAAAACTTGCCTACAGGTCTAACTTTTTATTCAAATTATGCGTGTTATCAGTCTACTTACTAAACATATATTTTTTTAGGAAATAACGATTTGAAATGGCAGATTTATGGTTTACAAAAACAAAATGATCAATTAAAGTGTCAAAATCAAGAATTCGCTAATAAAGTAGAAACATTGAAGATAAAAATCAAGAGTTTAGAAGATGAAAACCAGATGTTAATTGCTATAAATAAAGCAAACATTCAAGAAAATGAATAACTAAATGCTGAAAACAAACATTTTCAGTTGTTTCATTTATCAGAACTATTAAAATTGACACAATCATCATAACAATATTCAACTGATAATCATCTTACTTCAGAAGCTGATGATGAGTTGGATGAGCATACTGTTTGACCTACTAAATGTCGTAAAAATAAGAAAAAGAAGTCAGCCAAAACTAATGATGAAATGGAATTTGATTTAGAAGAAGCGAGGGTTTATAGTTTATCAATTAACTTTTATCAGTTGTATGTTATATCGATCATTCTTTATTTATATTAGAATGAAATGAAGTTAATTCTCAAGACCTTACCACCTGATCTTAACTTAAAATCAGATGAAACTTTCACAAGCAAGGCTAATACTAAAATTATTCGAAAGTTAATACCTGAACTTATTAAAGTAATGAAGCAGAGATATAATCTATCTTATGATCAATTAAAGAGCTGGTTACAAGCTTTGCACAGACATAAAAGTAGCTAACATTTGTGTAAGGCAAGATGAAAGCTTGACTAAGATGACTGACGCATACATAATAATAGTTGCATTAATGAAGTAAATGATAATCAGCTGATATTCTATTTTATGTCTATTTTATTAACTAAAGTTTTATCAAAATAGAAAAGTGCTTGTCACATTAAATGTACAAGATCACTTTTTAAAATGGGAGATGAACGATTAGCAAAGTACAACCAACTAGAATTATTAAGGATATTGTGAAATCATGATTACCATTCACCCAAATTGAGCCAAACTGATGATAAAGGTCTAAGTCACAAATGTCATATCAATGTTTATGATTATTTATGGCGATCAGATGAGGTATTATAGCAAATTTCAGTTAGTTTGCATCCTCAATGCTAATATTTTATTAGTTGAAACACCTTTTTCACGAGATACTTGATCTGCATTCGTTAACAATACAAGGAACAAAATTGACAAGAAATCAAAACTATAATGATACCTAGGGTTCCGCAAAATCGAATCAAATCAAATATTTGATTGAATCAAATCAAATCAAATCAAATCAAATATTTGACGAATCAAATCAAATCAAATCAAATCAAATCAAATATTTGACAAACCAAATCAAATCAAATCAACTAAACTGAATCATAATGATTAAGATGTGGTGAAGCATTTAAATATAAATTAAAGAAAATCACAAAATTGTTGAACACGTGATAAAAATCAAGTAATAATATACCTTCGAAAAATAATTACCAGGTTCTTTTCAGAATTCTGTAGAGAACTCTTCATAATAATGTTCACCAATAATACTTCTCTTCTTTTTAATACCTGTCTAAACTCCTGATCTAGCTTCTTCTAGCTCCTGAATTAGCTCCTGCATTAATCCCTACATTAGCTGATCTCTCTAAGACTGCTTCTGCTTACATTTACTAAAGATATCTATGTTAATTAATATAATAATTATATCACTTACATAATATGTTCAAGTTAGAGATAAGAATTTTTTATTGCAGTTTCCTCCAGTGAAATAGTTTATGTTATAAATTTAGTTGAACTTCTCAGCCAAAAAATCCTCTTATCATGAATAGGGATACAGTGATATTCAGCTTTCTATTTTTACATTCATTAATGAGGATATGAGTTTGTTCGTCATTCTACTCTGTAAACATTTTTACAGTTTAAGAAAAGTTTTATAGGAAGTGACGAAAGAGTGATATAACAGGGTAAACTAAGAATAGATGCAAGTTTTTATGTGTCATGATTTAAATGAATACTCTGTGAAATTAGTGTCATAATATATCAAAGCTGAAAAATAGCTTCGCATAACAATCAATATAATAATAATATAATAATAATAATATTAGCATAGTTACTGCACAAAATATGATTAGCTGTATCTCATCTCATGATTTGAGTTGTAAGAAGATGCTGGGAACTGACTGAAAACTAGGGAAGATCTTATGTAATACAAATTTTATAAATATTATTTGAAACGCTTAGATCTAATTTAACCAAATTATGACATCAGAAAAATCGTCTAATCTATATGCATGTACAGCGTCTTCGCTCAAACAAAAAAATGAATCCAATATTTTATTATAATATACTTGATACAAATTGCTATAAATCAGCTATAAATCATTAAAAACACTATAAATCACTAAATTGTTATCTCTTAGATTGTAGTGTTTTGCAGACAAATTTGCCTACTTATTTACTATAAATTCTCTTCTGATTTACTTTTATAAATAATTAAAATTTTTTTTTTTAAATTAATTATATAAATATGTAACATATTATAATAAGTTTTATCTTTTAATTATTTAATAAAAAATGTAATGTTATTTAGAAGCTAAAAATTTGTAATTTTTAAAAGAAATTTATTTTAAAAATTTTCATGATTAATCTATGATAAACTTTTAGAATTTACTTTTAACTATATTAATCATAATAGAATATTATAAAATTACTTATAAAGAAAAAC